AGTGATGGACAGAAAGATTAATAAAGCTCCCTTCTCCTATACAAGCCCGTTTCCTGTCCGCTCATAGTGTATACCTCACAGATGGGGACGTGTCAGGCTCTGATCTCTATGCAGGAGTTGGTACAGGCTGGTTTTGCCTGTTCTACTGTTAGTGAGATCCTTCCTCCTCTTTGATGGGGGCAGGCACACTGAGTTAGGGAAATAGGGATATCTTATTTTGGACAAGGTATCCCATTTTGGTCTTGAGTCTAAGCAATGTTTTAATGTGACTTTACCATGAATAAAGTTAACGTTTTAATTTCCTTTTTGAATCCACACGTCTATCTAATGTGGTGGAGAACAAGAAGGGCCATATGGTGGTGTACTTCTACATAACCCACTGCAAACTTTCTCTTTTCTCCTTAACCCCCTAGCCCCTTGGATTATGGTAGTCATTTTTGGTCATAAAGGCAGTAAATCACAACATTTTCCATTGTGATTTTTAAAAAAATTTCTTTGTATGAGAGATTTGTATTATGAGTGTATTTTCCCCACCCTTATCTTAAATCTTAAATTTATGACTTTTATTTAACATCAATTCTTCTTCTTTTAAATGAAATCCCAGCAGGAAGAGAAGGCATAAATTCTACTAAATTAATTTCCCCAAAAGACAGATTGGCTAATTTAATACATATTGAATTCCAGGATGCATTGGGCACCACACAAACACGCAGAAAGATACAATTACTAGCATGCCATTATTCGGGAAGGAAATGATAAATTAACAACAAATCCAAAATTAATGGACTCAGACTAAATTCTTTCAAGGACTTGGTTTGTTTATTGTATCTATCCTTAATACAACCCAAATAATGGAAGGAAATACATATAAAAAGATGTATGTATAAATCCTATTGCATCCCAGTTGAACATTTGCCTGAGAGGGGAGATAAATGGTATTCTTGTGTGCAGTTGAAACTTGTGAAAGGCTGCACCAAGCAATAATTGCACTAAGTAATAACAGCTCAGAGAATCGGAATCGCTATTTACCTGCCTTTTGCTGTTAAAAAACGCAGAATTTGGGGCAAATTGATTACTTTGCTGTGTTTACAGCCTCAGACCTGCCTGTTTATGTTCAAGATATTTGTGCTATTTCAGCTTACTGCCAAGTGAGAAACGTAAGGATGACCTTCCGAAACCGCATCATCTATCTCTACCCACTGTTTGCAGAAGGTTACTCCAGTCCAGTTGAAAATAACTTGCTCAGCGTGGCGAATTCTTCCTTTCCCGGTGTGCTACACTTTGCAAGCTCTCCAGATTCTCTTAAAAATCCTCTGCATAGTGGATAGGAATACAGTTTCTTACTGCAGTGGGCTGCAGTATCAGGAGCCCTTCAGCTGTGTGCACATGATACAGAGCTTCCAGGCAGCTCTTCTGACTGCCAGGGACCGGTGAAGCCTGTTTGGCACCCAGGGCTCCCCGAAGTCTGACATTCAAGAGTCTCACCTTTCTCAGTGTCGGGAAGCAAGGTCCCTTCCCTCCTCAGTCCCAAACAACAGAATGAGCGGCATATAATAGCAATCTGTATTTGTTTTCGGGAAACCAACATGCAAATAAGAGCACACATCCTGCGCCTTCCATACTTATGAACCTGGCATCAGGGCTAAGCAACATCTTGCTGCATTTCTTTTAATGCTCACACTTGATACTGTATCAGCCACCTTAACAGCCACTAATGGCTACGCGTTTTTTGCAGGACTGAACAGTTGGTTTCATATAGTTAGACAACAACACACGCATTCCTATCGATTCTTCAATTGACTTTCAGAATTTTACCAATTATTCAGTCTTCAAGCCAGTTACTAGAAATTGCACAAATGTGGTAATATTTCATTTGTCATATGTCATATAATTAATTTTTCTTTAAAAAAAATACAAGTCATTGAGAGAAAACGAAGCATTCAATCCTCAGAGGGAAAGCCGGTATGCCTTAGAGGCAAGCAGGGCAAGAGCACTGCACTGGCCCGCTAAGGCCGCAACATGCTGCAGGCTGCCGCTGCAGCTTTGGCTTTCTCGCCAGGTGGCAGAGGCCCTCGGCAAAAGGGCACACCGCAGCGTTCACGCCTTGCCTTCTTCCTTGGCACCGGATCAGGGACCACTGTCAAGTATAACAGACAACTACGATATAGTTTTTTTTTGCGGATTGTAACGGAATGTAAGGGGGCTGGAGAACCGCAAAGAGGAGAAGGGTGTGTACCCGAGTGTGACGGATCACCGTTGGCTGACAGTGCCTAAAAATTTCTCCTGCAGTCTCTACAGACCAATCCATCACCAACTTCCTTCATCATGTCAGATCCTTACATCTGAAATCACCTCTCCCTACAAAGCCAATAGATGAATCAGGGTTCTATGACCGTGGCAGAGCTCACGTCTGGGCTGAGAATCAGCATCAAGTTTGGGGGTTACGGTAGAGTGCAAGCCTGCAGACCCCAGCGTGCCTCCCCTAAGATGGGACCAGCTTGGAGATGGCCCTTCCAGGTGCTCGCGCCTCAGTGCGCAGGGACTACCCCCGCCCCCAAACCAAATAGCTCACCCTGCTGCATCCTCCGAGCCCCAGCTTCGGGCGGGCTCAGGGAGGCGGGAGCCCGGGCTCCCCCCCGGCTCCTTGGCGCCCCCTGACGTCGGCCTCCAGCAGAAAGGTCCGCGGAGGCTTGCACAGGCGAAACCCGGGGGTCCCCGCGCACCGCCGCCCGGCGCGTGGCCTGGCGGGCCGCGCGCGCACCGAGCCGACCTCAGGGAGGGCGCGCGCGCCGCTCGGTCCCGGGCCCC